TTGTTTCATATAATATATTGTTGTTGTACAATTGTTTTTGTTTGTGCACATTGATTTTGCTCCTTTTGTCTTTTTGTCATTTCTGCTGTTTCATCTTTGTCACAGCTGTTTGCGTTGTGTTTATTAGCTGTCAAATATACAGTGCATTGAAAACTGTTCGCTACATAGCTTTCCAACTGATATTTACCAGGTGATTGGTTCACTGATTAATACATCGTTTTCAAAACTGTTTTTGCGTTTTTGCTTCTAAAACCTAAAAATAAATATAAGTTTAAACATGTCGTATATTTACACCAATTGCAACGTTAAAAGCGACTCCTATGTGTCATGCTGGCTCTGCGATGGGATTGCCCATATAAAATGTCCTGGTTTGAGCGGTAGAGTACTAGACGCTATTAACGAGGGTAAGGGTCTTCGTTGGTCTTGTCAAAAATGTAGATCAACCGAAGTTGATTTATTTAAATTCTTTAGGCAGTCCAGAAATGGTTTTTCTGAGATCGGGAAGGATCTGTCGGTGCTTGTTGAGAAATTTAAGCATTACGAAAATATGTTTAGGTCTTTCACTTGTCTCGACAACCCTCCGCACTCTGAGGATAGCCGAGAAAATAAAGGTGGGCGTGTTATTAGTCCACCTAAAAAGACAGCCACGGATTCTAGTAAAAAAATCCTCCATCCCAGTCCTTGGAACTTATTAATCTATCTTCTCCATGCCCTCAGGCATTGGAGCCTCCGATATCTAAAGCCATATCCACTAGGTCTACTTCTAAAAATAGTCAAACCTTTGATTTAACAGTGTTGCCATCAACATCTCAAGCTCCACTGTCTAACTTAGTTCCTCCTAATAATTCGGAGCCCCGCACATCAGACATCATTACCAAAAAGTTGGTTGTAATTCCTCCGAGAAGATCAATCTTTGTCTCTAGATTTGCTAAAGATACTTCTTCGGATGATATAAAGTCATACATATCGACTAAAATTAGAACTAAAGATGTATTTATTCGTAAATTTAATTTTAAATAAGATCGCGATATTTTATCTTTAAAAATTGATGTAGCTTCCGAAGATTTTGATTCACTACTAAATAGTTAATTTTGGCCGCCCGGGGCGTTTGCTCGCGAGTTTGAGTATAAACCTAATAAAAGTAATAATAACGTAGCTAAAATTTCTAATCTTAATTCCGATTCAAAAAACTAACTCGCAAGTCTAATTTAAGTATTTACTATCAAAACGTTAGAGGTTTGAATACCAAATTAACTGACTTATATTTAAAAGGTTTTGACTGCAATTATAATATTATTTCCTTGACCGAAACATGGCTCACACCTCATATTTTTAATTCCGAAATTCTTCCAAATGAATATTAAATATACAGGAGCGACCGCTAGGGCAGAATCGGCGGTGGTGTTCTTTTTGCGGTGCATTCATCGATACCATCCGAGGAAGTTAGTCTTCCTGCCATTGAATATACCGAATTTAAATGTATACGTGTACAGGCTGGAAAGAATTATATTTATTTAGCTCTTTGCTACATCCCTCCTAATTCTGCCGTATCAGTATATATGCAGCTAGTTTTTTTACTTGAGACCGTAAATGCAATGCTTACGGCATCCGATTCTATGATTGTTTTGGGCGATTTAAATCTGCCACACATTTCATGGAACATCCTTGACACCGGTGTTTCATCTAAAGATAGTTACAATGTATTTCTGGAGGAAATGGCTGAACTTTGCCTCAAACAAATAAATATATGTCCAAATAAGTTTGGAAAGGTCTTGTGTGATCCCCTAGTTTTGCCGGATGATGCATACCATCCTTCTCTTGAGTTAAGCTACGAAATCGTAAATGAATTACATAATAATAAGTCAAGTTCAAGTACTAGATATGTTTTTGCGAAAGCAAATTTCTGGAAAATTAACAAAGAACTTTCAAAGTTATCTTGGCCAATGTATAGAGATGACGTAGAGCATAGCGTTGAGCACTTTAATGATACTGTTTTGAATTTGTTACGAAAGTATGTGCCAAAACGTAATATTGTCCATGAAGAACCAATACAATTATGGTTCACTAAAGAGCTTAAAAAATTGAAAAATAAAAAGTCGCACTCTTTTAAACTGTATAAAAGAACGGGCTTACACAGTGATTACCTAAGGTACTCAGTTTTGCGGCATAGCTACTTTGCATTAAATAAGAAATGTTATAATTCATATTTATGTAAAATTAAGAAGAATTTAATTAAAAATCCTAAATCATTTTATGGTTTCGTAAATTCAAAGCGTAAGGCACATGGTTTTCCGTCCGCTATGCATTATCGCAACACTGTATCTAGCGACAGCCAACTCATTGCCAACATGTTTGCTCGGTTCTTTAGGTCCAATTATTCTGTAGACTTCCCTATAAGTGGACGAGCTTTGTCCAATCAACTCTGCTTATATTCCAGTAATATCTTCCGATGAAGTTTTACACTCTTTAAAAACCTTAAAAGCGTCATTTAGGCCTGGACCTGATCATATTCCGACCTGTTTTCTTAAAAACTGCGCTGAGAACATCTGCGAGCCTTTAACAACTCTATTCAATTTGTCACTTAAACATGGCGTTTTTCCGTCAGCCTGGAAGGAGTCTTTCATAATACCACAAAACGGCAACGCTCTCCGCTATCCCCAAATTATTCGAAGCAATTATTGTTAACCAGCTGACATATTCTATATCTTCTTCAATTACACAATCTCAACACGGGTTTTCTAAAGGAAAATCTACTATGACTAATTTATTGGAGTTTACAACTCATGTCTCAAACGGTTTTAGAGAAAATGCTCATACCGACGTAATATACAACGATTTAACTAAAGCTTTTGACAAAGTATGTCACTCGTTACTCATCCGTAAACTCGACCTAATCGGCTTTCAGCCCAGTCTTCTTCAATGGATCTCATCTTACCCCTCTGATAGAACACAAAGAGTTATTGTTAATAATTGTTCTTCCAACATCATTAAAGTTTCTTCAGGGGTTCCTCAGGGAAGCCACCTTGTTCCGATTCTGTTCCTGATATTCATTAATGATATTTCTTCTATAGTAAAACATTCAGAAATTTTAATGTATGCCGATGATGTGAAACTTTTTAAAACATTGTCCTCTAGCGAAGAAAGGTCTTTGTTACAAGCGGATCTGAACAACGTGGTTAGTTGGTGTAATACAACCTATATGCCACTAAACCTTCAAAAATGTAAAGTTATATGTTTCTCTCGGAGGGCTGTTCAACTAGCGGTCTATTCAATATCAAATTATAACTTGGGGTAGGTGTCCAATTTTGTTATCTTGGTATCACAATGGATTCCAAACTCAATTTCAACCATCATATTAATGTCACAATCAATAAAGCCAAGGCGTTTTTGCATATGTAAGGCGATGGTCAAAAGAGTTCAAAGATCCTTATGTTACAAAAACTCTTTTTACCAGTTTAGTTAGACCTATACTAGAATACGGATCTATTGTTTGGAATACCCGCTACCAAGTTCATTCAGAAAGGATTGAGTCAATTCAAAAACAATTCTTGCTTTTTGCATAGCGTAATTTTAACTGGGATTCAGATTACAATCTCCCCCCTTACACAAGTCGTCTAAAGCTCATAAATTTGCCTACACTCGCAAGCCGTAGAGAAATGCTAGGTATAATATTTATCATAAAATTAATGACAGGCTTGATTAATAGCCCGGCCCTCCTGGCTGAGGTAAATTTTAATGTTCCTTCTCGAGTGTCAAGACACTTTCGACCTCTATTTTTAAAGCCATGCAAAATTAATTTTGAACTAAACGAATCATTCCGTGGTTCATGTCAGGATTTGAACTGTCATTCCAGCACGTTTGATGTATCGGACTCGACTTTTACTATAAAGAAAACTATTATTTCCACTCTCAGTAATTGAAATACTATCTTTAGCATATCCAATCAGCTGATGAATTTGATTCTGTAGCTGAATAGTTTTAGATCTCGACACTTAACAAACTCCTGTTTCCACTACTCGGCACCAAAAAACTAAAACAAAAAAGGTTACGTACGTCATGCGGACTGAGCCCCTCGTGTCGGTTGGGCGGGAATGGAGGGTAAAAAGCCGTTGGGATTAATTAATTAATAGTTCATGATTGTGTGTGGATTAATATCACAACACTGAGGACTAGGCAATAACCTTATTCATCTCTTAAAAAACAACACCTACTGGGCAATGTTTATTGTAAGAACAACATTTTTTTCTATGAATCGACATACTTGAAGCATTGTTGACGCTATTTCCATTTGAATGGAATTTGTACTGCAAATCGAGTCGGAACTTAAGCTCGCTTTCTATGCATGAAGTCCAATGTATTTTTTACTACTTAATATATTTGTGTGCTTTAGTGCTTCGAACAATATTTTTAGTATGACCTTGTATGAAATACTTATAAAATTTATTTCCAGGTAGTTTGAGCATAACTTCTATAACTTTTTGCTTAAGAAAAATTTCAAATTATTTCAAGTAACCATTTTCCTATTATTTGTGTGAAACAGCCCACCAATCGTGACAAAAAGTCAACAGTAACCACAGAATATGTACCTGTTTCAGAAAGGTGCAAAAAGTACTGGTAGCACACATTAAAAGAAATGATAATAAATACAAATACGACGTATTGCACTGGTTTTTACCCAAGCAAATAAGAGTGCATGCGTGTATTTACGTAAACACACAATTTTCAATTAAAAATGAAGTGCTGCACGAATGCAAATTTGCCAGCACTTAATGGAATTGCGTATTGTAGGAAAAATGCAAACGATACTTACATAAACAACTTGTATTTCATATAGCATAAAATCGTAGAAATTTTTTCGCATTTTGCATTATACCAAATTAATTAACACATTTTATGCCCATTAAATTCACAAGATAAGCGGCTTATTGATAAATAGAAGCAAATGCATGGACTCTGTAATAATTTATAAACATTTTATTTCTCACTTTTTCTACTTCCAGCTGGTACACGCACAACGGTCCCGGCCCATTGCCCGTGCTTAGTGGTCCACGCGTGCGTCTACTCGGTCCAATACTCGCCATCGAGGCGGTAACTAGCGAAGATTCAGGTGTCTACAAATGTACTGCCAGCAATGTGGGCGGTGAAGCGAGCGCCGAATTGCGCCTCACAGTGGCCACACCCATACAAGTGGAGATCTCACCGAACATACTGAGCGTACATATGGGCGGTAATGCCGAATTTCGTTGCATTGTCACGAGTAATGGCAGTCCGGTGGGCATGCAAAATATACTGTGGTACAAGGATGGACGACAACTGCCATCATCGGGTCGCATAGAAGACACTTTGATGGTGACGCGTGTGAGTCGGGAAAATCGTGGCATGTATCAATGTGTGGTGCGGCGGCCGGAGGGCGACACCTTTCAGGCGACGGCGGAGCTGCAGTTAGGAGGTAAATATCTACTCGTAAATATTTGTAGATTCAATATCTATTTAGAAATATTACTCAATTTAGCATTCACTGACCTTTATACGACCAGTTACTATTTTTTTGATTCATAAGTATTAGTGTGGTGTTATGTTTATGTATATGTGTGTTTATTTGTGTTGCCAGTATACCAAAATGTTGGTAAATATGCATGTATGTTGTTGCTTCATAATAATTGCTTAAAAATTTGTCTGAATTGTGGTGAACGCCATTTTGGTTGAACGATGCTGAATAATGGCTTTTCGTTCAATTTCCGGTATGTGTTGTTGCTATTTTGCACTTTGTTGCTTAAATGCACAAGCTTATTTCAATATGTACTTATGGAGCTGAACGGAAATTATTTCATTTTGTATGGAGTAATGACCATGGAAATTATTCTTATATCCGTTTTGCCCGAAGGCGTCAGACATTAATATTCATAACAATAAATTTCGAATAATCACTATTTAACTGCAAGCATTCGAAAAAAATATTACAAATATATGTGTGTATGCTTGTGCGCGTTAGCATGTGCATGTATGTACACATATGTATGTACACCACGTGTCAAAATCATAAGCGCACCAAATATTGACTAAATTTAAAAATTAATTTTTTGTTTTGCTTTTTAATTAGATTTCTTAGAAGTATTTTGATTTGTAGCCCATTAAATTCTAATTGAAATACTGGAAATTTTTACGAAAGTTTTTTGATGTTGTTTTTTTTTTTAATATTGTACAAAGTCTGAAACCTAGATTTATGCGGTAAAAGAATAAACTATATTTTTATAAAAAAATTTCAAAAATTAAATAACATCAAAATAAAAATGCCAATATATGGTGCGCTTTCAATAGCGAAACGGTGTGTATTTAACTACATTTTTATGCCAATAAATAAGACGATGTAAGTTAAGCAAGCACCGGTTAAATTAAGAAAAGTTTAGCCAGAGAAAATGTGTGAGAGATATGGCTTTCCACTTCCACAAATGAATGGTGGAAACTAGTTTCTTCAATTTTAAAGATGTAAATGTATATATTTTATTTTTCATAGGTAAGTTTCTTGAAGTACCGTAAAAGTAGAAAAAAAACGCACATAAATCATTAAAGCCGTCTTCATAGAATTTTTGTTATGCATTTCTTAAATTTCAGTATGAAATTTTATTCGCAGCACTTAAAGAATAACGAATTGTTTCACAGTTTGCTTAACACGCATTTATGTTTGGATATAGTACCAACACATGGGGCAAATATTACAGATATTGCCTTCCCAAAGAGCGCATATTCGAATCTGCCTTAATTACAAAACATCGTTGTAGCGCACAGTAAAAGGTTTAAGGTAAGGGAAAATGGAATATTTTCAAACACCATGTGCACTAGGCAACAAACGAAAGTGTAAACCTTGTTCTGAAATCAATTGATATCACCGTGCGACAGTCAATTTTACACACGAAAAAATCAATATATTCACAAACCAGGGGGCCAAATATAGTAAAACTGCGTTTTTAGCTTTTTTGTCTGACGTCAGGATTTTTTTTAAAAGGACTATGAAATTTCTAGAATATGAGTGAATAAAAAAATTATTCAAAAGATGCGGGGCATTGTAGAATAACAGTATGGGTATCAATTAAAAGGAAAAATTCTGTAGAATACAAAAGAAATTAATTTTTGGGTGCACCAGGATGAATAAGTATTGAAATGTCCTTTCAAAATTTTATCCTTGAATATCCTTGGAAATTTCCAATATTTATTTTTGAAAAAAATATATGTCAATGACTTATACGTTAACTACCACATCTTCGAATTTCGTCCTCCTAACTTTGTTAGGTTTAGATAAAAAAATTTCACTTCTCTTTATAAGATATTGATAGTTGCAATATACATAAATGAAGATACTGGAATCATTATTATGGAACCATGTATGCACTCTAAAAGAACAAACTGACCGTATGATATAACTATGGTTTAATACTTTAATTGTTTTGTATACAAGGGCGTAGTCAGCCTTTCATCTAGGGGGCAAGAGTTTATTTATAGGGAATAAATGTTTTTAATTATATTTTTTTTTGTGTATATAAAAAGAAATTTTTGAGTTTACGAAAGTATAAGTTTTCTGGTAGCCTCTACAACGATACAAATTTTAAAAAAATCGGTTAGTAATTTTTTTGTTTAAAATATTTTTCTTTATAAAAAAATAAAATTTTTGCTTTCAAGTGTTTCTTCTCAAATTTTTATACACGAAGTAAACAAATATGCCAACCAGAAGAAACGGTTCAATCACCTTTACAACGATACCAAATTCTTAAAAATCGGTAATTTCTTTGTCAAATTTTTATATACAAAGTATACAAATACGCACACCACCACAACGATACCAAATTCTTAAAGTCGGTTAGTAACTTCGTTGTTAATTTATTTATTTTTTTTTATAGAAAAAGGTATTTTTTCCTTTTAAATGTTTTTTCTTAAATTTTTACATGCAAAGTATACAAATATGCATATCAGAAGAGAAGGAGGGGGTTTAATCGTTTACAACGATACCAACTTTTTAAAAATCAGTTCAAAATTGTTTGAAATATAAGGTTTTTAATTTTTCAAGGACGCGACCTTTGCCTCTTATAGCACCTGTAATATAAGATTGCCTAAATAATGTTATAAACCATTTAAACAAGAGCAAAAGGCGTCTTCGACTTTTTTAGTTTTTTAGTTACTTATATATAATAATAAAAAATAATTGTTTATCAAAGATCCTATTTCGAACTTCGAAGGCCGATATCTCGATTTCGGAGGCTAACTTCGAAAAACGGAGAAATTACTTTTTTACCTATGACTCAATCTCTTAAAAAAATTGGTTTGGTCCAATACCCAGCGGAGTGCTGTACAGTGTAATGATTCTAGTATCTTAATTTATGTATATTGTAACTATCAATATCTTATAAAGAGAAGTGTAAAATTTGTTTATCTAAAACTAATAAAGTTGGAAGGACGAATTTCGAGGATGTGGTAGTTTACATATAAGTCCTTGACATACATTTTTTTTTTAAATAAATATTGGAAATTTCCAAGGATATTCAACGATAATATTAAAGAATACAGTACTATACAAGGATATTTTTAATTCTACAGCACTATTCCTTTTAACTGATACCCATATTGATACTCTACAATGCACCAAATCTCTTAAATAATTTTTTTGTTCAGTCATATCCTGGAAATTTCAAAGCCCTTTAAAAAAAATCTTGACGTCAGAGAGAAAAATCAAAAATGCAGTTATACAATATTTATTATTATTATTATTATACAATATTATGCAATACAACAAAATATCGATAACAAAACCGATAAATATATCGACAACAAAGTCGATAAAAATTGCAATAGCAAAATCGATAATGTTATTGGTAGGAAAATCGATTAGAAGTTCGATAAAAATATCGATACAAAAATCGAAAAAAATATCGACGAAAATATCGATAAAAAAAGCGATAAAAATATCGATAAGAATATCGATAAAAATATAGATAACAAAATCGATCACAAAAATTTAATAGAAAATCTGTAAAAATATCGATATCGAAATCGATAAAAGTACCGACAACAAACTGGATAAAAAATATCGATAACGAAATTGATAAATAGTAGATAACAAAATCGATGAGAATATCGATAACGAAATTTATAAAAATTTCGATAACAAAATCGATAAAAATGTCATTAAAAATATAGATACAAAGATCGATAACAAAACCAATAAAAATATCGTTAAAAAATACCGATAACAAAATCGATAAAAATGTCGATAACAAAATAGATAAAAATGTCGATAACAAAATCGATAAAAATTTTGATAACAAAATCAATAAAAATGTCGATAAAAAATGATAAAAATATTATTAATATTATTATATCGATAAGTCCCGAGAATCCCGGAAATCTCTAAAATCCCAAAATAGTTCCCAGGCTCAGTCTCTCTGACTCTATCGATATTTTTTCTCTATAATTACCTTTATTATAATCTTTCTTCCTCTGTCTTCATCTTTACTTTTATCGGTATCCCCATCCTCATCTTTTTCTTTACATTTATCTCTGTTTTTACTTTTATGTTTATCATTTTCTTCATCTACATATTCCCCTTTACCTTTGCCCTTATATAACTAATGTGTTTAAATTTACTATGGCCTTCATAAGAATCAAAAATTTTGACTTCTAAGATTGTTAGAAGTAAAAATCACTGACTGATCCTTATTTATGACTTTTATAAAAAAAGTCTTCAATAACTATTATCTAAGGCAAATAATTAAAATAAAAAATAACAGTTATTTGCAGATTGTTTAGATAAAAATTAAACATAATTGTTAATTCTGGTTTATAGAATGAAAATCAGAAATAACTGTTATTTAAGGAGTAATTAAATAAAATTAAAAAAAAACTGTTAAAGAGCTATTTTTGAATAAAAGTTCTAGCCGTAATCTACGATCCAAAATTAAGTTTATGCGTTTCGGCGTTTTTTGTGTTATTTGCGTTATTTCAAAACTTGAAATTTTCCTTACGGAGTACAGAATTTAATGAATTTACTAGTCTTTCTACTTGTGATTTATTCAAATAAAAAAATTGATTTTTAGTTGACAAAATTCAGCTATCTGGTTTTTGGCAAATAAGGTGGGTGGTCGAAAAAGTTCTGGCTACAATGATCCTAAGGGGTGAGAGCATTAAAATTCAAACTCTTGTTTTTTACCACCCTAATGTACACACAAGCGCGTGTAATAAGTACACACCATTATATACTACCGTCAACACAAATTTGTACCAACACACTCGCCAATACAATTATATGCCAGTGCATTTCCACTCTGAGATTGCTGTGCACAACAGCAGTTTTGCACTTGTGTAAGGTCATATAGAGGTCATTGGCCAAATAAGTGGCTTTCGGCAGCTGGTAGTTGCCAATAAATTGCCCTAGGTGTAGTGGTAATTAAGCTTTCGTAAACA